AACTGGTTACCGTAGTAAACCGACGTTTCGGGAACAAAGTCACAGGCGACTTCCGAGGAGCCAGTCATATCAGAACCTTGAAGATGGGGACAGAGTTTGTTCCCGAAACGTCGGTTTACTACGGTAACCAGTTAACGCGGCTGATTTCCCGAGATTTTATTGATTGTTCTCACCGCGAAAGTCCCAAATCCTATATTTCAAAATTATTTTATACAACCCAAAAACAATGAGAAATGTAACTATACAAAATAATATCAAATAAATATGAAAAGTAGTACTAATTCTCTACCACATCTTCGGGAATTAAACAAGAATGTATTATTCATCACATGACTTCTAAATCTAAATAAAGAAAATATATGGACGTCTGAAGCAATTTGACCTCTCCCACCGCATCTGCTTTGAAAACGGTAAGGTGAATCTACGAGGATCCAAGTATCAATCAATAAGTAATTAAAACAGAGTCAAAAATTCACCAAGAAGGGAACTACAAGTATCAATCAATAAGTAATTAAAACGGAGTCACAAATTTACCAAGAAAGGAACTGTACTATTAAGTAACAACTCCTAAAGCGTTTCCAAAATTATAAACACAGAAAGTTTAGGTCATAGAAAAGTGTGTTTAGTATCAAAGAATTAAGCGGGAGACAGCAATTTACAAGCGCTTCGTCTATACCACAAACAAAACTATTTTTATAATTTATGTACACATATAAATATATTATATAGACAAGCGAGGACTATCTTAAAACATGACAGCATTTGTGAACGCATCTATAAGTAATTCAGTTTTATAATGGAAATAAAATAGTACTAAGTCTGGAATGCGCTGTAAATCACACTTTATCGTCCCTTCTAAACACGTCGCAAAATCTTATACTACACTACTCATCATATTTTTCAGAACTTTTCAGAAGACTACACATAATAGGCTACTCTAACCTCTGCCTCGCAAGGAAACTGTTTTTTTCCCCTTGAGAAAGGAAAATTAAAATTAAGGAGCTCAGCTTATCATCAATATTACTCAACAACTTAATAAGTTACTTCTTATATTGTGTATTTTTTGTGAGATGCCTGAAGTGGAAACGCATGTTCAGGAAGATGGACGTAATCACACTCAGTTTATTTTCATTAGACGAGTTTTCTTCACTTTGCCTACTACTTTCGTTGCCCAAACAAAAATCTCACACAGATAAACACCTTTCTTGCGATGTATCCATTCACATTCACTGCATTGTTTCATTGCATGTACGCATATCTTGTAACATCAACATTTTAATAATAATATATTACCAATTGGATATTATAAGGCATTATAAAATTCAACTTACATTAAATCTCGTGAATGGATTTCCTCGTCGTTAAATCCCATACGTGTTAAAAGGCGACCTGGTAAGTTTTTCATTGAACTTTTATGAAGCCATTTTACATTCCTGTTAAGTCTCTGCCTGAAATTAATTTAATTATAATTTCCTTAACAGTTCCTCGGCCTTCCGAGACGTTTAGCGGTCAATATTTTAAATATATTTCTCGTTTACTTCTCTGAAGTGACATTTTCAAACCACCGCAAACACCATCAGAAAAAAAATATTTAATAATTCGTTCCCTACTAATTATCTTTTAAGTAACTGACGAACACGGGTTCACAGCAACATTTGAAACATCACCGAAAATTCACGACATTAACACGTATTTTGACTCAGTTTCTGTCATCTCTACGTCTGTATCCCTTATCTTATTAAATCGCCTTACGCACTAAACCCATTTTTTCCTCTATACATTGAAACATGTCTTCGAATTTCGCAAGTTTTAACGCGGTTCAAAAAAATGCTATGGGATTTCTGCAGGGTCACTTTAGCTAATCCAAAGATCAACAGTTTAATGTAGATCCCGTTTTGTTATTTATTCGAAAAGGAAATGTATCACGAAAGAGAGGGAAGAATTTTCTCTTCGGAAATACAATAAATTTGATTCATTGTTTCCTCCAGTCCATCTGTAGATGTATACATTTTCCAGCCATGGTATGTGTGTTTCCCTCATTTCTGCCTTTCGTTGACTTGCAATGAGGTGGAAGATAAGACGAAGAAAGGAGCAGTGAGAAAATGTTGAAATTCGTCTCGGTTTTTATACTTATTCTTCTCTTACTGTCTTCTTATTTTTCTCAAGCTGCCCTTCCATAAAAGCGATAAAAGAAATTCACTCGACTGTAAGCACATTCCATGTTTTCTTATTGTAGTGTGGTGCAGTGCATGAGATAGTCCGCCAGTGCCTGAGCGGCACAACAGTCAAAATGTTATGACCTTAAGGTACACGGTAAAGATGTAGAAGGTTCCCATTTTTTTCATCTCAGCTCTGCCGATGCAAGAAGTGTACCAAAGGCCGCAGTAATAAAATGTGATGTCGATTTAACTTTTATGATCACCTAGAGAACCTTTCTCCGTCTTCGTCTTTTAGGTGTTATGTTCTTTAAGTTAGGTTCTTGTGCTGATAAGGTGTTACCAGCGAGATTAAAGTAGAATCCCATGACACAACCAGAACGCTTGTGGTAGAACTAACAATATGTAACCAGAAGAAGCAAGACGATCTTTAAAATCAGCTTGGCTATCTTTCCACAAAGATGTGTGTGGCAGTACCGTCTCCAGGGACCGCTAGCCGCCCTGAATCAGTCCATCCTCTTCTGCTGTCGTTATGTCCCACGCAACACGACCAATGCGAACAGCCACGAAGATCTGCGAACTAGCCTATGGGTCGTGCTCTGCATGTCATTATATAGGAGCAAAAGGTTTGTAACACGGTAGGTAATATCACTGGCTTCAATCGCTTAGCCTATATAAAGTTACACTAACCTATTCTGCAGACTGCTTTGTGATTCAATATGCAGGTTTAAGTTTGCCATTCACTATAAGATTTCTTTAATATCCATATGAGACTGGGTACAGATTAGATGTCCGGGGGTCAAATTCCAGGCAGGGACCGAATTTTCTCGTCTTCAGGTCTACACAGTAGTCAAACCAGTAAAAGTAAGTGTCAATTAAACAACTGAAAATAGCACCTTAAAATAACGAAGTAACATTATGATGCTGAGTCTTTCTCACACAGCTGGCAAAGATATTTCATACTTTCAAGAAATCTGAATATTTATTACCATATTCATGAGAGTGGGGCACTGATTGGTATTCTCATACGATAGCAACTCAATTTAAAATCAGTTTTAATATTATCCCTCAATATACGTAATTCAAAGTCGGCTCTTCCCTTCAAGTTTACTGACAAATATTGCACATACAAATTTAATCTCCCGCACGTGTATTTCCATGTTCTTACAACCTAACCTTCCTCGATTTGATCGTTCTAATAATCTTCAATGAAGACTTCAAACAATGAAGAATTACGTTGTTAACTAGGTAAGACAGTATTTTTTGCAGTAATCCGTCTCAATAAAATTTAATTACAGTACATTAGTTTAATTATGGCAACAAGTTTTGGTGTTTCTATCACCATATTTAGGTATTTGAAGAACCTGGTAAAATTTACTTTATAAAAACTGACAATCTATTAAGCTTCTCTTTACGTAATTTTCCCCAGCCACCCGTCATTTCACTTCCTTCCTGAAAACTCTTTGCGATGATGAAAAAGTGAACCTAGGAATGACATCGATTTGGCTTAGGTCGCTTTCTCGTAAACAGTTAGTGTATGTGAATAATATGCAATTTATTCAAAATCAGATAACGAATTCTGGATGCGAGTTCCTTTGTTCCTTGACCGTTTGATGACACCTTCTAAATTGAGTTCAGACAGAAATCTTCATACTCACCGCCCTGATGATGGAGGCAGTATGATCTCTGAAACGTTGGTAAACATCTACCAGACTACACAGCGCAACAACCCAGAAGACAGAAATCTTCATACTCACCGCCCTGATGATGGAGGCAGTATGATCTCTGAAACGTTGGTAAACATCTACCAGACTACACAGCGCAACAACCCAGAAGACAGAAATCTTCAAATTATGAACGACTCAAATCTAACATCGTTCACAATAACTTCAAATAGGAGGTTTCTCGTAAATGAGAAAGTTAGATGAATATACAAGAAAGCGGCCAGAGTGAGTTTAGGCTATTGTCGTGGGGCTGAGCAACTCAGCAAGACTTCAATCAGGATAGCAGGTCTCCGGATCGATAA